ACACACACACACACACACACACACACACACACACACACACACACACACACACACACACACACACACACACACACATTTTGATAATCTAAAGAGCATTATAATACATACATTCGTGATACTTACCAAAACGTAAGAAGAGAAATAACATTTGCATTTTGCCGTGGATTTTTTGGATATTTTTTTTGAACGTTGCTTATCATGATGTAAAGCTTTTACTCATCTTGAATTATAAAAGAGAATGATTAACTGCAAAAACAAAAATATAGCAAAATGAAATCAAATTTTTATTTACAAAAGAAATATAAAAGCTTTCGACCAAACCTTCAATTTTAATTACGATTGTTTAAATGACTAGATATCAAGAGAAAGATATCAAGAAAGCTTCTTATTAATTAAAATAAAATTTAATGTATACAAATTTCCTGTTTTTTTAGTTACCTATAACTGCTAAATTATTTATTGACATTTCTGAAAAGTAATAATCACCTATAAATTTATTAAAGAACCTGTGATTACGGTTAAGATTACGAAATATATAAGTGACTTTAATTACAAAATAATAATTACAAAATGTAAATCACTATCAAAAGAGAAGGAATTTAATAAGATTTTCTTATAGAGCGAAATTATGGTACTTACCAAACCTTACGATTAAAGACCATTTCGAATCTCTCGTGAACCGTCTGGAAACAACACGATCGAGTCTGTCAATGACACTTTATCATCCATTATGTGTTTTATCACACTTTCTTACATATTCTTATCGCGAGCAAAACTAAATAATATATACGAAAGAAGAAAAAAAGAAAAGATACTCAAAAGATAATAAGTGATCAAATTAGCATCTGAGTAGTAGATACGCTGTAGCGTCTTTTTCGCGAAATTGTTACGTATTTGGCACAAGATTGGCTATTGTGTCTGATGTGAGTCTCATCAGTTTGGTGCATAGACGATTGTAAATTTGCTGATAGCAGAAGCTTCTCTTTATCGTCTTTTTCGCGAAATTGTTATGTATTTGGCACAAGATTGACTATTGTGTCTGATGTGAGTCTCATCAGTTTGGTACACAGACGAAATGTAAATTTGCTGATAGCAGAAGCTTCTCTTTATCATCGTTTTCGGAAGACATTCGCGTTTCAATATCTTGCGGTTTAATCGCTCTAAGCTTCAAACTTTGCTACTTAGTCTTATCTAGATGTCTTTCCAAAATGCAGCACTCGCGTTTTTCTATTAGATAGATAATTGTCCATTCTTGGAAATATTTATCATTATCAATATATAATTTATTTTACTTATACGTATATAAATTATAAAAAAAATATAATAAATGAGTGAATTATGCACCGAACACTACATTTGCATCATGCATCTTCTCGTAATTCTCGATACGACACAAGAATGCTGCATACATTTTTTTTTTTTCTATTCGGAAAATAACATCTGGCGAATAAGTTGGGACAAAGGGAAACCTATTATTAACGTATTACAAAAGATATAAGACTGACATGTCGGAAGGCAGTGAAAGAATTTTTGCAGTATATGCGAGAAATAAGAAATAAGAATAGGAGGGAAGATACCATATAATTATGGTACGTCTGCGACATTTCGGACTAATGATCGCGCTTACGATATCGTATTAGAGACAACGAGAAAGAACGTTGCGCGACTGGCGCGACTGGCGCGACTGGCGCATATTAATCTTGCAAGTAAATTGATGAGCCGTTCATTTATTTTGCACGATGAGCATTCTCCAATTTGACTGGGAAAGTTTACTTGGAAGCTGACACGGTACATTTATCGCCAGTCTACTATCGCCGGTCTTCGATCTATGTCGAAGTCGAGTAAGTCATGCAGGTGGTGCGGAAATTAACGACGGTAACAAAGAGCGTTCATTACCTGCCATTACCATGCCAACGTGCCATTTTGCCATAAACGACTGCAAATTTCTCAACGACTCTTTTTCATTTCTAGTCGACTGATCTCGTTCAAGCGTCAAAATTAATTGTTTGGAACAGACGGTTCATAGGTTTCTTGGGTTTATGGCCGTCCAAGGTGAATCAGCCTGTATTTATGTTCGTTGTTATTTACATGATAATTTATTGTATCATGGGAGCGAGACATTTGATCAAGAACTTTAACTATCCGGAACGCGTCGTCGCGAATTTAACGGATAACGTTTTATTCGCGATGATACTGGGAAAAATGTTCATACTCAGAGGGAGCTGCGGAGTAATGACCAAGTTTTTGAAAAGCATCGAGATTGATTTCTCGACAGAAATGTATAATAATGTCCAGGAGAAAATGGCGTATCTATATTACAACGAGATTGCAATTATATTTCTCAAGTTTTCCACCTTCATGGCAGGGTTAGCGGCTTCGCTCTATTATCTCAAGACATTTATCAAAAATTGGAGCGCATGTGAGTACAACATACATTTTCACGTTAAGGTTTAAAGCTATATGATAACTCATGATAACTGACGACTGATGACTTGATGAAAAGCCTTATCTACATCAAGTCTTTATTTATTACTCCTGTGGAATTTACCTGTGGAGAGATTGATTGCGCTTTACCGCTTACCGAGATATCGAGATTTAGGAATAGGGATAAAAATATAATTCTTCTTTCCTTAACAAACAATTAAATATCTACCAAAATAATTAAGTATAATAACAGTCATCTTGGTGCATTGTCATCTTAATTATTGTATGTATTATATCCTACAAATTGAATTTAAATTGATTTCAAAGTATTAAATATTTTAATTTAATTTTAATATTTGAAATAGCTGAGAGGACTTCCCTTATCCCTTAAATTACAAGCCATAGCCTTGTAAAGTTCTGAAAAATTTTTTTACGTTAATTAGAAATTAAAGAATATAATGTATGTATGTAGTATCTGCATAATGTATAAGATATGTATAAGATATAATGTATAAGAAAAAGCTGGAGATAAAGCTTGCAACTAAGTGCAATTAAATGCAATGTGATGTGTATACAGTTGTACACGGTAATTTTTCGTACGAATTACCGTATCCAGTTCATCCCTTTTTTGAGATCACGGACACGACTACATATGTATGCTTTTGCTTGTACCTGTCGATATGCATACCGATCATAGTATGCGGTTATAGCGCACCGGATGCCTATGTACTCAGTTTAACTCTTCACGTTTGCGGCCAACTTGCCACTTTATCATGTAAGATTAACAATTTGTTAAAAGATCAAAAAAATTATCAGCATCATGTCGGTAATATCGTAGTGAGGCATCGCCATCTAATAAGGTGAGTTCTTATTTGACTCGGTAGCGTAGATACATAGTTGTCTCAAATTGTCTCAAATTGTATGTCTATATATAATACTCCTATTACTCCTTGTAAATTATGATAAAAGTATTAGCTATTAATGTCAGGGACCAATATATTGCGACCAATATTTTAACGATACACGCGCGTTCCAGATTAGCAGACACCTTGGAAAACAAATTCAACTTGATATTTCTACAACAAACCTTGGGTACTACATTCCTGCTCTGTGTAACTTTATATCATATGCTTGCGGTACGTTTTACAAAGATTTTTTTTGACATTATTTGCTTCACCGTGGTATCGGTATTTGAATATTTTTGCTTGAAAAAATGCAAATCGCCAAGCTTACAAAACATAATATTATACGTATTTTTACTTTCTGTTCATCTCTCTGAGATATATTCTATACAATTACCCTTTATAACTATTAATTGATGTCCATGATTACCAAATATTTAATATTGACGGTCGATTAAATTATATTTCAGACTTCGGAAAATGGCGAAAACTATAATGTTTTAGCTTTTGTGTCATATATAATCTGTGTGATTAGTACAATTCTCGCATATTGCTACATAGGCGAGTGTCTTATTACTGAGGTAATAATGAAAAATGGAATAATTTACTTTACGTACTTTACTTACCTTACGTATTTTAATTTATGGCATTAAAGGATGTAATTAACGTTACGTTACGTTACGTCTTAAAGACATTACATTAAACTTACATTTAAAAGACATCTAATCTTTTTCCTTCTATAAAACGTTTTAAACAAAGGTATTATTTGTAAGAAGATGTCATTTTAACGTTTTTAAGATGTCTCATGATTCGATTTATTATTCGATTACGATGATTCTTTCAAATATCCGCTAGACATTTTATTTCAAATCATTTTTAAACGTTGTGTAAAAAACACATAATAAATTTTAAGTTATTTTGATTTTACTTTTATTTTAAAATTATAGCGTTTCTTCTTCTCTCTAGACAATTCTAACATATTAAATACAAAATACAATTATTTTCTCGCTAAACAAGAAAAATAATTATCTTATAATATTGCTTATTTTATTTAGAGTTCTGGATTGCGTGACGCATTTTATAATACCGATTGGTACAATAATCCGCCACGATACACAAAATTAATTAGCATTTGTATGATACGAGCTGAAAGACCATTGCTAATGACCGCTGGCAAATTCTGTGCGTTATCATTGAACACATTCACGAGTGTCAGTTTAATTATCATGTAATTATTCTTTGTTCTTCTATTATTTTGTTATGATTCTTATAACATGTATTGTTTACAGATTGTGAAAACATCGATGGCATACTTATCTGTTTTACGTAATTTCATGTAAAAGAATATTGAGATTTTAAATATTTTATTAATTAATTTATAAAGCAGAAAAATATAACAAGTACAAATAATAAGATATACACACACACACACACGCGCGCGCGCACGCGCGCGCGCGTGTGTGTGTGTGTATGTGTGTATAAATTAATGTAATGTATAAACTTATATAACAATATGGTACCAAATATTATACTGTATAAATAATAATATGTATAAACAATAAATATATTATTTATTGAAATAGAAAAATATAATACAACTTTATCTATATAAAACTTACATCATATTGTACATTGAGAATGATTTTAACAGACTTGCGACGCGCATCAAAATATATATCTTTTTACTATATCTTTTAAAAAATTTATAAATGTTATATATGCGTATCGAATTTTGAAAATACGAAAACGAAACATTATACGAAAAAGTTCTACGTTTTAAATTTTATTTTTGCATGTTAAATAATGTCCATGTACACCGTGGGTCATCCTGCATATATAGTAAAGGAATTGGTGAAATCATAATGGAGACCATGAAGGACTTTGATAGGATAACTTTGATAGGATAAAATCGCCGAAATAAAGATACTTGTTATCTATAACGTCAGGTCAAAGATTTTTGTTAAGATCTATTAATTGGTGTTTGTCATTAACAAGTCCGCGCTGTCGTATTATCTAACTCCAATTATAATTATTCTCGGAAATAATGAGTCATGTATACGCTTTTATATAACATAATCTCAATGTCTAAGAGAATTACATTGTGATGAAATACGTAAAGAAACAAAGTAAGTCAAGTGTTGAACTAGATGTTGAACTAACTGTCCCGTAATTTTATTATCGTTTGCGTTTTATAAAATAAGTTTTCAAGGTATTATTTTTTGTATTCACAAATTTTCAAAGTCTGCGTATTTTTTTGAGTATTCTGAGCAGTATAATGGTTGGTTTAGGCTGTTCAGGTTGAGAAGAATATAAAAAAATTGAAATTTGATCGATTTTTTTATTGTGATTATATATTTTTTTTATTATGATGTCTTGTATATCATTCGCATATATTCGTTCGTATACATGCACGTTCACACACGCACGTACAATTCTCATTGTTTTCTTATAAATGTATGCAAATATTTTTTTTTTACAAAATGATAAAATAGGTGGATAAACGTGGATAAATTTTATAATTGCCATTAATACGATATATCAAAAAGAATTGTAAATCTTTCAAAGAAACTTTTCGGTTTGTTAAAATTATACTGTACAAGGCATTTATCATATGTGTGTACTTACCATTACGAAAAATTTGTAATATTTATAAACATTCGGTATGTTTGGTAAGATGTGTCATTTCAAACATTAAATTCCAAACAAAATGATATATTTAAAGTACGCGTACAAGAATAAAAAATGATTGAAATTTTAATCGAACGCACTGTCAACTGAAATACCATGTATCACTTTGCGGTGTCTTAAGCTCTTACGAAGAGGAAAGACTGTCGACTGTCTTATGTTTCACAATTAAAGTCGTGTGAACGTGCAACAGATTGTACATACAACTATCGTTTCAGCGAATACACGAGGCGAATCATCGGGCATGTGATATAAATCGCCATGTTGCGTCACAAAAACATTCGTTTTATTAGCGTTCATTGGCCGTTCACTTTAGCAATCTTTCACTTTTACAATGATGTTTTCGATTGAAGAGACAAGACTGAATTTCGAGAAAATTCAATGATGTTATATTTATTTTTCAGGTTACTACAAGAGTAATATACAAGAAAATCTGTAAAAAAAAAAAAAAAAAAAAAAAGAAGAAAAGCGACTAAAAGCGTATGACCAAAATAAAAAACTTATTTTTTTTATAATATTATCAATATAAATTTTAATAAGACAATAAATTATTTAAAATAGAAAATAATTAAACAATGAAAATTTAAAGAAATTTGTAAACACAACTGTATGGTAGTTAAATCTGTTTTTCTAAAAGATTAATTAAATATAAAAAATTTCAGAAAAAAATTATATACAAAAATTAAAATTTTCCAATTATTGTATTTCAATACACGATAGAGTAAATATGCAATAAATGCAAAATTCAATTTATACTTTATTTATATTTCCACAAATTGTCTTTTATTACAAATGATTTTATTTATTTATAGCTGAGGCGCGAGGAATACATACACGAGTTTTTTGTCCACATATAAAATTACATAGTATTATGTCACGAAATATTATGTACAGACGTGAAGTTTGTAATGTAATACTAAAATCTAATGACAATTAGTAAGCTATTTTTACGGCTAAATTATTGTTCTTTTATTTTAACAACAAATGAACTTTATTTTATAAAACAATTTTATTAAATTGTTATTTTTTTATCTATAATCTCTTATATGATCCAAAATAAATTAATTTTATTAATTCAAATAATTGCAAATAGTGTGAAAAATAAGAGTTCATTCTTTTAACAAGAATTGATGGGAGTATTTGAACGTTTTAAATTGACTAAAAAAAAACAAGTTTTAAAAAAAATGTTATATGCATTCTATAGTGCAGTGCATTGCACTTATAAATATAAATGTAAAGATTAATTAAAGATTAATTAATTCTTCTTTGTGTAAGTTTGGATGGTAGCTTTGTAGTATTGGACTATGTCAATTATAAAAATATAAAAACGTAAATTATACTAATAGCATCGTGCATGTGCATAAGATGCTTTAATAAGAACAATACTAGCGTGAGCACTGATTGGAAATAAAAAGGATAGACAAGAAACTGCCTCGTAATAAATATTTTTGAAAATCTTAGAATGTAGCTAATATTTTTTTAATTATAATAATCATAAATGTTTTTTCAAAATATATATGTATTTTGTGAATTACGTAAGAAAATTATTTTTTATATAGAATTAACTAGGATAGGGTAAATTATATAATTATTGGCCACCTAAGCAAACTCTACTTTCGTCATAGAATTATTACATAAGTGCGCATTGAATTATCGCATTGAAAAACAATATACATAATTGTACTCTAATCTTATTATAATTTAATTCTTATATATTTGAAATGAATAGAAGATTCATCATCTTTCAACACAATATCAGCAATTAAAATGTTTAATTATAGTATATCAATAGCAGTATTGCTAATATTGTTAAAATATTAGTGAAATCTTTTATAATAAAAATATATAATTAGACGATATTAGCATTTATAAATATAAATTTCAATTGCGTTATTTAATGACTCACTAAAATAAGCAAGATACGTAATATATAAATAAAATTGTCCAAATTATTTAAAAATCTTCGCGTTCATAATTTCGATAATTGAATAATTTGAAACATCCCAATACATTATTTGTTCAAGTTTTTGAGCCCTAAGGTTTTTACATAAATTTACACAAAAAGAAGCTTATCTTTTTAAGAATTATGTTGTTTTTATATATATATGTGTGTGTGTGTGTGTGTGTGTGTGTGTGTGTAAAAAATAATGTGTATAATAATCGACAAAATAGGCCGATAATATACAGGATGATTCATACAAAGGATGATTCTTATTTTTTTTAAATATTTTTAATAGCAATAGACGTAACTGATTTTCTAAAAGTTTGTACTTTTATGTTTGTGCTTAAGTTTCTTTAGAGATTTTTTTATTAAGAAAAGCCTTAATATAAACATGAAAAATTTAATAACATATTAGATAATTTTATTTCTATCCTTAATATTTTTTTAAGAAAATATCTTGTACACTTTATATAATCTGTACAAAAAAATTTAATTTCTAATCAAATTTAATTTTAGAAAAACTAAAAAAGATTTAAGCGATCCTTTTTTAATCACGTTATAATTACCATGCAATAGATTATCACATTACGATTACCATACATGTATGTAATGGCCAATAACTCTATGATTTATCCTAACGAGCGGGACTAGCGCCGCCATTATCGGGGCTTATGAATGAAATTTTCGTTGTCGTCATAATTGAGCAAGAGATAATAACGCTTTAGCGTCTAGTATCAAAATTCAAGTATTCAGTATCGATCTAAATATTGGAACAAAATAATTATCTAGTCAGAACTTTTAAATATTTGCGCTAAAGGAAAAGAGAAAGAGACAGTAACACAAGTAAGATGGCACCCTGAATTGAAGAAACATAGTTTGCGGAAATGGTATTTAATTTGTTGTACAGTTCCTTACTACGTTGTATTCATTATATTAAATCGATGAATCATAACGCGCGATAATGATTATAGGATTATGGAATATACTTTCATCCTGAGCTATAAAAATCTGAATAAAGAAAGGTTTCTACACAAGCATTAGGAATGAGATGCCCTTGTAAAGTCCTTCTTAATAGTTGAGACTCCTGTGGAAGACGTGTTGATCTTGTAGGTATTGTTCTTTGTTTCGGAGGGATGCTTGTGAGTGCTCGTCGAGGATTTTCTAAGTGGCTTCTGAATTTGTGTTGTTGACAGTCCGCTCACTGGATATTTGTTCCTACTAGATGTCGTCCCGTTGCTGTTCCGTGTACCGCTCTTCGTGGACGCAGTAGTGGAAGTTACATCGCTTGGATGCTTCGGCAAAACGAAGGCCTTCGTCTGCTTTAACAGATATTGATCGTTGCATAACGCGGAGATTAAGGGTAAATCTAAATTACGACTTTTTTCGCGAAGTGTTCGTATGTCTAGCATATCATCACTCTTTCCTTCATCAGTTTCCTCGACACCGTTGCTAAGTTTTCTATATTTGTTTATCGTTGTGACGGAGGAAGCTGTCGCTGAAGAAGATGATGGCAGAGGCTGATTCTTTTCTAAATTCTAGAATAAACACAGTTTTGAATTAAACATAAATTAAATTATAAAGTAAATTATAAAGTAAATTAAATTATAAATATAATTTTATATAAAAATATACAGGCGATAAATTTTTATCGTTTATTCATCCACATACCACATAGTATGTAAATGTATAAACATGTAAATTTTTTCCCGCAGATTTTTTTAATCTAGATTTATACATAAAATTAGTACGATATGATATAAACAATCATAAAATTAAAAAATAATTCAAAGATAAGCAGGGAAAGTCTTCTCTCGATTTTGATGAATTACATAACATAATTTAGCTTAGATCAAATAAGAAATTTAATTGTTTTTACCTGTATTTCATAAGGTGGTGGTGGTGGAGGTGGCGGTAATCTGCGGTGTTTGGACTGGGGTACGGACTGTATTTTGCTCGCGATCAAGGTATCCAAGCATTTAAGAATATTCTCGTCGCTCCTAGTTCGCGAGAATGCGTCTAGTGTATAAGAATGTGCTGGCATGGGCGGCTCCCTTCTGAGATTATGACTGCTTGTCGATGAACAGGTTGCACCACTGTACAGTGAGTTAGTGCTGGCAGCATAATGGCTATTTAGATTGCCGTGGAAGTAATTTCCACCGGAACTGCCGGTATCGCTGGAACTTAAATTCTGATTGGATGCATACTTAGATTGAGAGGAAAAAGAGGAACCTGGAAGGTAGGGTGTGCTACGGTACATCACCGAGGACTTGCTAAAGGATGGGTACGGCGGCGGCGGCGGATAGGCTGCCATAGCTGCCAGAAGAGAACCTTGTTTAGCATCGATATATTCCTGTTTCGATACCGCCGGATCCTTGAGTGGAAACATAACATAGTCGACGTCGGAATAAAGTTGTTGTTTGTATTGTTCTATCTGCGATCGTGCAACCTGACTCGTATAGACAGTTGCCAGACTTGACGTTGATTGAGATGACGATGGTGGTGATGGTGGTGGTGGTGGTTGTGGTGGT